TGTTATTTGTCGAATGCAAGATGAAAACAACGACTTTACGGAAACATAAGGCGTATTTATACTGTTGAAGATTAAACTACTGGGATTATTAGATCCAGTGGGTTAATCATGTTTGTTTAGATAAAATTTGAATTAATTTGAAAAAAATCAATTGTTAATAGTATGGATCACGCGTATTTGGGTAATACGGGCTATTTTGGTAGGGTGTGTTGGGTATAAAGGTAAGAATACATAAAATGCTTTGTTGAATGGCTTAAGTCATCGGCTGGCTTCTTCGTTTAGGAACAAAGGAGTTTTAGGTTGACTTAGTTCGATTTTGGCCGCTCCTTTGTTCTTATCGAAAGAAGCCAGGCGATGACTTAAGTCAGTCAACAAAGCGTTTTATGTATTCTCACCTTAAGGCAGCACCGTCAAGAAGTCAGTCGATGACTTAAGATGAAGCCATCCGATGACTTAAGCCAGTCAACAAAGCGTTTTATGTATTCTCACCTTAAGGAAGCCCTGTCAACGGTTTTATTTTACTAGCTCTGTTCCTTTACACATAAGAGCACGTTTAGACTACTAAATCCACTCGATTTCAAATGTCAATTTCATAGCGTATACGTCACGTAAATCGTATTCATAAATCTAGTGTATTCGACGCATACGCCATGGAATTGACATTTGAGATCAAATATGTTTCGGAAATCTAAACTTTAAGAATCTTCAACGTTTAAAACTTTTTGTACGAAAAGTGTTGTCCCATGGTAGAAGAATACAGGTAGCTGCATCAACGATTGGGAACATTGATATGTCAAAAATTTTAAAATGTTTTTTCAAATATAAATAGATTTTTACGTTTCAGAACTGCACGAATTTAAAAGTTTTAAACCGATTTTCCCTTAATGATATCGTAGAAAGTTGCAAAACTAGTAGATCCTTGCAGGTTCTGGAACAGAGCTCATATATACGTTTTGCTAACATTTAAGATAGCATTAGTTGTGTTCCAGTACTTTTTTAGTAGTAAAACTAGCAGAAGAGAGACCAGTACGAAATGCCATTCTTATTTAGGTGTGCTCAAAAAATAAGGGAACGGAAAATTAGCAGAAATGCGATAAAATGTCAACATTCAAAATTCCAAAAGAAAACAGTCTAAATCGGACTGGTGAAACCTTACTGAAATGGACGCCAAAATTTAAAAAAATAAGTATTGAAAATAAGTTAAAATTATTAATTATTTTTGAATGCTTTTTATTTAGAAAGTTTTGTTTTCAGAATGCGTTGAAGAGTATTTAGGGGTGGAGTTTTCTCAAATCCCAAGCTTGAAGAAGCTGACATGGTTGGAGGCGCCGGTTAAATTAATGTTAAGTCTGCTAGAAGACTGAATGTCACAAGTTGGGAAGACAGCAAACCTAAAAATAGAAAGAAAATGTTCGCAGTAATATGCGAACATCTTTGATTTTAAGCTTCATTTTTCAATTTACCTTTCACTAATTTTCCACTGTTTTCCAATACGTTTTCTTCGACTAATTCCTCATTCAGTCAGTCCTCTTCACTCCTGGAATAATCCAAAAGTTAATACATCAGTTACTCCAAATTTTCTCTTTTTGCATTTTGCACGACAAATATTAGTTTTTCTTAAGTTTTTAAGTTATCTTTTTTCTTTACATTTGTTGTGAGGCGCGAACATTGAAATGTATCAATACATATTTCAACCTTGTTAGCCCTACCAATTAAATGTCAAATTTACAATTTGCACATTTCTGCTCGGCCAAATTCATGTAGCTAAAACAAGCAGAAATGTGCACCACTCAGCGCCATTTTTTTCTCGAGAGAGCTGCAAGTTTTGCTAGTTATCGGAGTACGGGAACGCGTTGTAGCAGAATTAGCACTAATTAGTACTATGTTGTAGGTTCTGGAACACAACTTTTGTATTCTATTTTGTGTATGTTTATAAACAAACATCAGCTGAGTGGTATTTATATCGTGTATCTAAACATATCTTAATGTGTATGTAAACACACAATGTTAACTCACTAAATCTATTAAAGTCCATGATAGAAGAATACAGGTGGTCACATCGACACAGCTGCTGGAACAATGAACTGTCAAACCGATTTTGGAATTGTTGTCCAATTTCACTGAATAAAAAACAGGTTACCATCTCTGGCTTCAATGTATACAATGGATTTATAAACATAAATTTTGACAATAAGATGTTGTCAAATGAATAATTTTGAAAAAAATTGTGAACATATGATTACATGTCTTTACCTTCTTAATTCTACCACAACTCATCTCTGCATTTCCTGCAAATTACCTTGTCAAATTTCACTGCATTAAAACTATGTTTCCATCTCTGATTTGGGTATTTACAATGGATTTATAAATAAATATTTTGACAATGGGACGTTGTCAAATGAGCAATTTTGAAAAAAAAAAAACGAATCATATGATTGCAAGACTTTACCTTCTTCATTCTACGGTGTCCATATCATAACAACCTCCAATTTACATCGTATAAGAAAAAAATAAAATCTACTTATTTTTGACAAAACATTTAAAATTTTTCACATATCAATGTTCCCAAGCGTTGATGCATCTACCTATATTCTTCTACCATGATTATAGTCAGTGGGTTATTGAACATTTATACTATTGAGGATTAACCCCCTGGGCTAAAATCTGTAATCTTGTGTGTTTATATACATTTTCAGGAGGATACAAAGGCCGCTCAGCTGGTGTTTGTTTACGCATACATACACAAAACGAAAAGAAAGTGCAAAAATATGAAAACATGAAAAACATAATATAGAGAAGATTGATGCCATGAAAATTGTACAATATAATTTTTTTTGTTATTTTTCGAATGGAAAATGTAAACAACGACTTTACGGAAACATATGGCGTATTTATACTGTTGAAGATTAAACCACTGGGATTATTAGATCCAGTGGGTTAATATTGTGTGTTTAAATACAACTTCAAATTAATTTGAAAAAAAACCAATTGTTAACAATATGGATCTCGCGTAATTTTGGTAATACGGGCTATTTTGGTACGGTGTGTTGGCTATAAAGGTGAGAATACATAAAACCCTTTGTTGAATGACTTAAGTCATCGGCAGGCTTCTTTGTTTAGGAACAAAGGAGTTTTAGGTTGACTTAGTTCGATTTTGGCCGCTCCTTTGTTCTTTTCGGAAGAAGCCAGGCGATGACTTAAGCAAGTCAACAAAACGTTATATGTATTCTCACCTTAAGGCAGCACCGTCAAGAAGTCAGTCGATGACTTAAGAGAAGCCAGCCGATGACTTAAGCCAGTCAACAAAGCGTTTTATGTATTCTCACCGTGGTAGAAGAATACAGGTAGATGCATCAACGTTTGGGAACATTGATATGTGAAAAAAAATTCAAATGTGTTTTTCAAATATAAGTAGTTTTTTATATGTTTTGTTATACGACGTCAATCGGAGATTATAATAATATGCGTTTCTCCACCATTTTTACATATGTGAATAATTTTTCATTCAATAATTTCAATTCCAAATTGGTTGACAGTTTATTGTCCCAGCAGCTGTATCGATGGGCCTGCCTGTATTCTTCTACCATGTATTTTCCGCACGAATCGGTATGTTCCAGAACTGCATGAATGCAAAAGTTTTAACCACAATAACCGATTTTCCCCTAATGATATCGTAGAAAGTTGCAAAAGTAGTAGATTCTTGCAGGTTCTGGAACAGAGGTCATATATACGTTTTGCTAACATTTAAGATAGTATCATGGTAGAAAATTACAGGTAGATGCATCAGCGCTTGGGAACATTGTTATGTCATTTTTTTTTTAATTATTTCTTCAAAAATAAGTATATTTTTATATGTTTTTCTACACGACGCCAATCGGAGGTTGTTATAATATTCATTTTTTAACAATATTTACAAATTTGAGTAATTTTTCATTCAACAATTTCGATTCCAAAATTGGATTGACAGTTTATTGTCCCAGCAGCTGTGTCGAAGCGTCTACCTATATTCTTCTACCATGGATAGTATTGTTTTAAATAGGGATAACCAGGGACTCATAGTACAATAAAAAGGCAAGGTAGAGCTACCAGCTGATTAGAATTTTTTTCAAATTCAATGATTCGAAGAGACTTAAATTACGGGGAGCGCATTAATAGCATTAATCAGATATGCAACTGAATAGAAAGATTGAACATTTAGGATCATATTTTTGAGAGAACATCCAGGCATTTCATTCATCTTTCGCTCTATTTGACTCCTTTTAAAAATGAACAAAAAATATCAAATAAATGAAAACAATTTGTTGGAATAATTGTGACAGGAAGTGGGCATAGTCTCAGGGCTGTATTTCTGTAGTTTTTCTAAGCTGTTCTATTATTTATTATTTTTTTCTCAATTATTCATTTGACAATATCTCATTGTCAAAATGTTTATTTATGAATCCATTGTAAATACACAAATCAGAGATGGGAAACTATTTTTTATGCAGTGAAAGTTGACGAGGTAAATTACAGAAAATGCTTCTTAATTTTACCATGAATGTTAAAAAAGATATTTAAAAAAAAAATTTTTGCACATTTCACTATATTTTTGAAGTAAGTTAAATGTTTCTCTCTCTCTCTCTCTCTCTCTCTCTCTTTCGAAAGGACTTACGGAATATTACTGGAAAAGTACACAGACAACCTTAATTTCATGAAATAATCACAAATTCATAAATTAGTTGCTCTTTAATTTTAATATCAAAATATAAAATTTTAAAGGGCATACCCTGTGGGGTATGTCAGGCGTCAGATACCAGATAGCATTAGCCATTCATAAATTTAATACGAATCGACTGTGATTTAAGTCCAAAACATGAAATTGCCAAAAAATATTTATTTATATCAGCGAAATAAAAAAAAAATACCTGGAGATAAGAAGACAGACATCTGACATGGAAATTCTTAGATTGTATGTATGCAGTTAACATGGGTAGCAAAATATATATTCGAAACCCCTCTAATATAAATAGTCTTTAATTCTACAAGGCGAATAGCAGTAGATTTGTAAATAGCAAACTATGAAGATTGCAACTACGATTCTCATTGGTTTTGGCCTTTTGGCTGTAGCTTCGGCTGCTTCCGTTGATCCATCATGTATGTTAAGGGATATAATTAAGACGGTAAGATGAGATATTTAAAGAACCCTTTGTTTGGAGTTTAATTTATTTATATTTTTCCCTTTTTTATTTTCAGGACGAACGTATTCGCCTTAATGGTTATCCATCGGAGTCCCATTTTGTCACCACGCCTGACGGTTATGTTTTGAACTTATTCCGTATCCCCTACTCGAATAAGTTGCAAAACAAGGATTCTCATCGTCCAGCCGTTTTGCTTCAACATGGCCTGTTCAGTAACTCGGATTGTTGGCTGTCTGGCGGTCCTGATAGTGCTTTGGGTTATATGTTGGCCGATGCTGGTTTCGATGTATGGCTAGGAAATGCTCGTGGCAATATTTATTCTCGTCAAAATTCCATTGTTTCTATTAACAGTCCCAAATTCTGGCATTTTGATTGGCATGAAATTGGCAGCATCGATATCCCGACCATGATTGATTATATCATCGAACAAACCGGACAACCCAAGATCCATTATGCCGGCCACTCACAAGGTACCACAGTTTACTTTGTCATGATGTCCGAACGCAAGGAATACAATGATAAAATGAAATCTGCCCACATGTTGGCTCCTTGTGCCTTCTTCGAACATGGTACTTCGGCTGTGTTCAAGGTTTTCCGTCCCCTGGTGGGTACACCTGGTGGCATCTATAACCAAGTCTTTGCTGATATGGAATTGATGCCACAAAATCGTGTAATCAATCGTGTTGGCGATACTGCTTGTGGTCTGGAACCAGCATTGAAATTCTTGTGCAAGAATATGTGGCTCTTGTTCGCCGGTGAGGGTTACCAAAACACCAACTTGACGGCTATGCAAGAATTGATTGAAACTCACCCCGGTGGTGCGTCTAGCAATCAAGGTATCCATTACATCCAATTGAGTGATCACAACGCCGGACGTTTCTGTCAAATGGACTATGGTGCAAAGAAAAACCAACAGATCTATGGCCAGTCTACGCCACCAGATTATAATTTGGAAAATATCGTTGCCCCCACCTATTTGTACTCCAGTACCAATGATGGTCTCTGCAATCCCAAGGATGTTGATACCTTGGTGTCGAAAGCCATTCATTTGGCTGGTGATTATCGTGTACCCGATCAAACTTTCAATCATTTGGACTTTATTGTGGCCAAGAATATGAGGGAGATGGTTAACGAACCTGTTATGAGGAATATTCTCAAACATGAAGATGGATTTTATTGAAAGAAAAAGAAAATGGTAATGCAATAAAAAACGAATATCAATAATTAAAACAAGTACTTTATCTTAAAGAAGTGTAAAAGGGTATTTTTAAATGGAAATAATAAAAAATAATGATTTAACCATTGGTAGAATTAAGAAGGTAAAGTCGTGCAATCATATGTTTACAATTCGTTTTCAAAGTTATTCATTTGACAACATCTCATTGTCAAAATTTCCATTGTAAATACACAAATCAGAGGTGGGAACCTCCTTTCTCTGCAATGCAATTTGACAAAGTAAATTACAGAAAATGTAAAGATGGAAATGCTCATTTGAAATGACTTTACCTTCTTAATTTTACCATGGATTTAACCACGGTACAATAAGGAGGTAGAATTATCTGCAACAAGTAGTTTTTATTTCTTTTATATTTTTCCTCATTTTTGAAACATAATAGAAAGTTTTGATTGTTTCGATATATTTTAATTCCATGGCAAAACTGATCAATAATCCTAGTGGGCGCTCCGCCATTTTCGTTTCTTCTTCGTCATTGATTTAGAGAATATTTCGTCTTTATTTTTCGGCCACGCTCAGAAAAAATGTAAGAAGGTGGTAGCTTGACCTTTCTAGAATTTAAAATTTTTTCAAAATTATTTATTTGACAACACCTCCTTGTCAAAATTTATATTTATAAATCCATTGTATACACAGAAATCAGAGATGGGAACCTATTTGTTATTCAGTGAAATTTGACGAGGTAAATTACAGAAAATGCAGAGATGGATATGCTTATTTGAAATGACTTTACCTTTTTAATTTTACATTGGTACGACGGTTGAAGGTAAAACAATTTTACCTCCTAAATACAATTTTTTTCTTTTGATACCTACAGGGTGAGATAAAAAAACTGCAGCAAAGTGAAACGCCATAATTTTCACATTTTTTTTTTTTAATTATTGTTGAATGAAAGCAAAAAATGTCGGAAATAGCATCAAATTTTAGAATAAGTTTAGATTTGTTCGAATTGATCACCTTTGGCACGAATTATGGCCTTCAAACGGCCAATGAAACCGTCACACGCTGCCCGAATGTTGCTCTGCGGTATTTGGCCCATTTCCGTCGAAGCGCTTGCCTCGATACTTTGGTATTTTTTAGTGCCAACCTTGCTTTCCAAAATACTCCAGACAGAAATTTTGGTGGCCATTGTGCGCTGGAAATGAAGCGAGGAACCTCATTTTGTAACCATTCATGGGTGGCACGTGCTGAGTGCGATGGTGCTGAGTCCTGTTGGAATGTCCAAGGTCTGCGGCCAAAATGTTTGCGTGCCGAAGGCTTTAATACACCCTCCAGAATATTTTTGTGGTAATATTCGGCATTTATTCTGATGCCATGGTGATGCCGGCGTTTGAGCTCTGGTGGCCAACCGAAGGTGCACATTTTCAGCTGACCTCTTTGGCAAGTAGACACCATCATTTTGTTTGTTTACAAACTGCTGAACAGTGAATGTTTTCTCATCGGAGAAAACCAAATTCGGCAGTTCACCATTTTCGGCCAAGCGAAGCAACTCTTTAACTCTTTTGAGTCTGAGTCTATTTTCATTATCTTTCTGTAGCGGTGTAAGTTCTTGCACTTTTTGGAGTTTCAATGGCTTTATCCCGAGCTCATTTTTCAATATTTGCCGAATGGCGAATGGAATATTGTGATATGTTCAGCTCACAAGCCATTTTTCGGTCACCATCCATCTCACCCTGACGTATTTTCGACGTTAATGGAAAACGCATTGTACAATTTTGGATTAAAACTATTGTTCTATTCCAGAACTGCTAGAATGTAAAAGTTTTTACTACGATAACCGATTTTCCTTTTATGATATTGAAAACATTGTAAAAATATTATATTCTTGCAGGTTCTGGAAGAGAGCATTATTGTCCTACTATCTTAGATTCATTTTTGTGGAATAACCCCAATAACAAATGCGCCATTGGAACTTACATTGCAATGCTAATTTACATGTCAGCGTGTACAGCGTTTAAACTACTATAAAGCAGCAATTGTTTTGTGTGAACATTACGTAATGAAGCTATTGACCAATGGCAGAAGAATACAGGTAGATGTATGGGAACATTCATGGTAGAAGAATACAGATAGATGCATCAACGCTTCGGAATATTGATATGTATCTTTTTTATCTGTTTTGTCATAATAAGTAGATTTTTATATTTTTCTTATATGACGCAAATCGGAGGTTGTTGTGATATTTTTCAAGAATGTTTACAAACTTCAATAATTTTTTCATTCAACAATTCAATTCCAAAATCAGTTCTTCTACTATGGGAACATTGATATGTCAAAGAGTTTAAAATGTTTTTTTTTTTTCGAAAATAATAAGCCTTTTATATGTTTTCTTATACAGTGTCAATCGGAGGTTATTATAATATGCAATATGACTACCAGTATTCTTCTACCATGTATTGACCACTTGAACGAAATTAACAGCTGAGCAATAAACGAAACATTTGAAACTGGTTCACAGAGTTCTCTTAAGTGAATAGCAGTGGCTCATTGTGGAGAAATATAAGAACTCAGTGTTTTTTTTATAACATTTTTATTAAAGAAATACATAACAGAAATGTCCTTGTTAATGCGATTAACCACGAACACGATTCGAAATAATGTTGTGCCATTTCGAAATATAACAACAACGATGACGAATAGAATTAAAGAAAGTAAGTTGTCACAGAGGAATCTTAGCTGTGTGTCGCGGCCAGTTTCATAACCTTTAAAGCATTTATAATTACATTTTTCTTTTCAAATTACTATTTCCAGTACAACAACGCCAAGAAAATAATTCGCTTATTATTGAAGCTGTAACAAAACCCTCACCCCGTGCCGATAATTTGCTGAAAGAAGCATGCAGTGCAAAATTCTGTCCCGAATGTACATTGGGTTTGGATATAAAACATACGGATGTTTTGATTTTGTCACAGTATGTCCGTTCTGATGGTTGTATGTTGCCAAAACGCATAACTGGTCTGTGCAATCGGCAGCAAAAGAAAATTGGAACGCTCGTGACAATGGCCCAAAAAGCTGGTCTTATGCCGAATTTAACACCGGCCAACAGCAAAAAGGATCCCAAAAAACGTTTCGGTTGGAAAAAGTTCAACAAATACTTTAATGAGAAAACAATTAAATATTAAAAAAAGAAAAGGAAGAATTATTTGTATTGTTAGATTGAATTTGTTGCAATAGATGTACTTCTATATATTTATAAAGTTTTGTTTTTGAATTATAGGGTAAATTATGTTCGTTAGATGATACCATAGTTCTCGGGCTATTCTACACATTTAACAGCTAATATAAGGCATGGAATACAGTACTTTAATGGGAGTTATAAACAAAATCTCTTGGAAAATGTAAAATATATTAAATAGTGCTTTCGGCGAAGAGATACAAAATTCTTGCCCTCATTGCAAGATAGAAGTATTTCTAATCTGAATTCTCTTTCCCTCGCCTGTTTTCATTTTGAAAATCATGTCTTTATCATACACATTCACAAGTACCCGCCCTAGTTTTGGAACCAACCCACAAGAATACTCAATGTTCAGTACTTCTTAAGCTTTTTATTGAGAGATTAATGCGAAATAGGTATTATATTAAAATTGTTTAATACTTGGTATGACATTTTAATATACACACGATATATATATATCAAATAGATAATCTTAAAGAATAAGAGATACAATTCATGAGTTCTCTAGCCTAACAAATTTTCAGAAAAAGTTATGATTCATCATCATATTGGCATCCGCAGCTTTGGAGGCCTTCTCTAAACCATGGATACGCTGCATATGCATTCTCAAAGTTGATCTCTGGCTAAATGCTTTGGGGCAATGGTTACATTTGAATGGTGTCGGATCCTGATGTGTCAACATATGCTCTTGGCATGCTGTCTGCTGACGATATGCCTTTCCACACAGCTGGCATCGGAACGGTTGCTCTTTGGTGTGGGTCCTCTCATGATTAATTAGATGAATCTTTTGATGGAATGCTTTTGTACAAAATGAGCAAGAAAATCGCTTCTCACCATGTTGCCGGACATGGTATTGGAAACGCATTTGGGTGTAATTTTCAAATTGTTGATTACAAATATGACAAGTGTAGGTAGATTTCAGATGGAAATTTTTAATGTGACGCTGCAAATGTAATTGGCTTCGAAAGTATTTGCCACACTCATCACATTGGGTCGAGTCGGGGCGATTGTGTTTGAGCTTATGTTGAGCAAGCATAAATGTAGACTTGAATGTGCTGGTGCAAATGTCACACTCGAACGGTTTCTCTTGCGGATGGAAACGCATTACATGTGTTTTCAGTAGCTGGCGACTCGTACAAGCCTGATGACAGATTTTACACGTGAGACGAGGATTAAATTTCTTGATCTTTTTCTGTTTTAGTTTGAAGCTTTGCAACGATTCCTCTTCATCGCCATCCTCGTCTCCGTCGGAAGATATTGAATCATCCGATTGCTCTTCATCAGATGTGGGTGTAGACGATTCTTCATCATCATCTGAAGAATTAGGATGAGATCTAATTGTATAGTCAATATGACGCGGCTCTTGCTGTAACTCTGATTCTGGTTTTATGGCCTCCATAGTTTCCATATCAATGGGCTCCGTTTTAATTTCCTCAAACAATGGAGGTGGTGTGCCAATTGAAGAGGACGAATCCAAACAACCAGCCATTTCCATCAAACGTGGACTTAAACGTAGCCGAGGGCTACTAAACGGTGAGTTGGACCCATCATGGTTATTGTATTTCACATTAACTGACCTATCTACATCTTTGTTGTTTAAAACCGAATCGGAGGCAATTTCATTGTCCTCAGCTGGGCTCTCTGCTTTCGGTGTAAGCTTTCCAGCATCTATCACCTCATAATCCAAAAAGTAGCTTTGTAGTACCTTCTGGCTATCAAGGCATTCTTCACGGAACGCATGCACTTGTTTAAATCGTTGATAACATTCTTCACATATTTGTTGGGGCAAGTCATCCATTGCATTAATCTGTAAGAAATTAAAAAAATACACATAAAATACATTGAACGATGGTACTGGTGTCCGATTTGCATCTACATTCAACTTCCATATTTGAAAATCTTCAAAGATTTCCTTAATTTCATCACATGGTTCATAGAAGAATTCATTTGCTGCACCATCACAATTTCCTTTGTCCGCACCTCCTCCACCCGTACTGTCTTCACCACTGCTCCGTACTTTTTCTTGGAATATTTTGTAAAGTTTCACATTATCGGAAAAGAAACGACTACAACAGCGACAGGTGGTATGGAGAAATAGCTTTTTATCAAAACAAAAATCAAAAGCCATCGCCCAATTGCAAAATTTTTATGATTTTTTCTGATTATTCACACAGATTTCTGTGTATATAGAGCTGGCTGACTGCAAGTGCCTCTGTTGCTGCTGGAAATTTCGTGTTAATGCAGTATGGCATCTCTCAAACCAAGTGCGAAATGGCAAACGGGAATAAAAATGTGGAATCAAAACAAAAATGTCGACACTGTAAGAGTTCCTTAGATTGATAACCGCTTAGTTAATATCTTATTCTGAATGACAGACAAGAAGAAGAATTTTATGAAAAACAGCCGTTTAGCCGTTAACAGAGTTGCCAAAGCCTGAGGGCGGGAAAGTCGCGTAAATTTGAAGAGAGTTAAAAAAAAACATTTAATTTAAATGTGTTTTATTTACACGCTGACAAGTCATATGCTAATATACAATTACGAGAATGACAGGAAAATGCAAATTTAAATTGTTGCTAAAGTCATGAAAAAAGAATTTAAGGTGCACCATTATTATTGTTTTTTACCTTATTTTTAGTGGTAGGAAAAAGCTATTTGAAATATTTTTATAGGGCTACAAGGTTAATACAGGGTGAGATAAAAAAAATTTCAACAAAGTCAAGCGCCTTAATTTTTACATTTTTTTTTTAATTTTATGGAATGAAGGCAAAAAATGTCGGAAATAGCATCAAATTATAGAATAAGTTTAGATTTGTTCGAATTGGTCACCTTTGGCCTTCAAACGGCCAATGAAACCGCCACACACTACCCGAATGTTGCTCTGCGCTATTTTGGCCTGTTCCCGGCGAAGCGCTTGCTTGAGATGATCGACACTTTGGTATTTTTTAGTGCCAACCTTGCTTTCCAAAATACTCTAGACACAATAGTCCAACGGATTGGAGATTTGGTGGCCTTTGAGCGCTGGAAACGAAGGGAGGAACCTCCTTGTCTGGACAAGGAATGTTTTCTCATCGGAGAAAACCAAATTCGGCAGTTCACCACTTTCGGCCAAGCGAAGCAATTCTATAGCTCTTTGGAGTCTGAGTCTATTTTCTTTCTGTTGCGGTGTAAGTTTTTGCACTTTTTGGAATTTTAATGGCTTTACCCCGAGCTCATTCTTCAATGTTTGCCGAATGAAATATTGCGATATGTTCATCTCACGAGCCATTTTTCGGCCACTGCGATGCGGGTTTCGGCCAAATCGCTTCTTTACTTTTCGAACCATTTCTGCTGATGTTGCTGTTTTCTTCCGTCCACTTCCTTGACGTCGGACTAATCTACCAGTATCACGGTAACGAGCGATTTATTCACATTTAAATGCTGGAGTGCTCTAACGATAGCCACTTGTGGTTTTCCAGCAAAATATAAAAAGTCACAATCGGTATTTTTTTCTAGTTTCGCATTTGAATATTGTAATGGCTTATGGTAAAATTTGTCTTTGCAGGTCCACGTCGACGTATAGACCCTAATATAATGGCTACATTCGTTATTTTTAAGATTTTAACAGAATTTTTAACGGATTTTTTTTTTTTTTTTTTGGAAAATTGCCAAAATTAGTTCCAAATGGTGGAGGTTGAGTTCGGCTCAGCCAAACTTACAGCATTTTTACTTGTTTCGATATCGAATGAGAGAATTTGTCTCCTGTTGTCAATGATTTCCGTATGAATACCCACATTTAACATTTTTAAATCCACCCAAAAAAGAAAAAAAACGCACATTGTATTTTTGAAAATTACTTCCAGGTGAAATATTTTGTTTTTTGTTTTATTTATTGCATGAGAATTCTTATGTGTGTACATTATATATAATGTTCAAAAAATAATAAAACAAACAATCAAAATCAAGACGTGGTAAACAAAGAGCAGAGTTACAGAGGAGGTTCCATCCAAAATACACCCTAATTACAGTTAACAACTAAAATATGTGTAGCTTTGAAAAAAGTTATTTTTATTTTCTAATAATAAATTGCTTAAAACCAAAAGTCTTTGTAGTTCTTAGAAATTAGTTTGGTTATATCGATTAAAAAGCTGAGAAGAATTGAAAGAAAAAAATTAAAAATAAAACAAAAACATATTTATATTTCATTGAATGCTAGCTTATTTTGTAAAACGTTAAAGATATATATATTATGTATGTATGTACTATTATTTGTAATATTATCATACAAAATTGTTGCAGAGATAATAATAATAATAAAAAAAAACTATTAAAGAATAAAATTTACAAGTCTTATGTGGTCAATAAAGGCATGGGATTTTGTTTTGTTTCGGGGCTGAGTTTTGGTTTGGCTTAACAGAAAACAATATTGAAATTTGAAAATCAATTTGCAGATGATAGAAACAAAAGTAGCAGTAGAGAAAAATTAGGAAAGAAAAAACAACAAAAAACAATGGGGAATATCAAATATTGTACAAACTATGGTTTTAAAATTTCCAAATAATTCCATTGATATTTTCTCTGTATATATGTATAATTAAAATATATATAATTCTAATTGCTTGTTGTTGTATTTTATAAATATTTATTTATATGCATAAATGTTGTTTTGTTTGTTTGTTTTTTCTTTAAGAATTGCTTACTTATTTGGTTTTCTTTGTATGTGTGGTGTGTTTGTGTGATTTTGAAATTAAAAAAAATACGAAACGAAAAATACAAGTGAAAAAAAAACGTATAAATACATGTATGCACTTTGTCTATCCTTTGTCCGGTTTTCTTATTATATTCGCTTATTACATTTAAATATTAATAAATTATTATTATTTATTTTTAATATAATTTCTTATTTTGCTGTTGTCTTGTATTTGTTCAACTTCATAAATTTAACACAAATTTTGTGCAATGCGTATGTTTTTTTTGTTTGTATATGTTTTGCTTTTTTGTTGTTTTTCCTGTGTTGCCGCTGTACGCGAAATACAATTTATGTATATATTAAATATCATATTGTTGTATTTTTTTATTATTCGTAATAGCTTCTCTTACACAAATTAGATTATATAAAAAATCCTTACATAACAAAAAAATACCTCTTCCGGCATTATTAATGAATGGTATAAATTTCTTCCGTCAAGGTGAAATCCTATTTGGGATCTGTAAGAAAATAAAAGATGTGTTAAAGATTTTTGGGGTAATAAAAAAAATTCTATTGCAGATTTTCTTCTGTTAATTAATGTTTACCCCATGGCATGGTAGAAAAATACAGGTAGATGCATCAACGCTTGGGAACATTGATATGTCATAAATTTTTAAATGTCTTTTCAAATATAGGTAGATTTTTATTTGTTTTCTTATACGACGTCATTCAAAGTTTAGTATAATACGTGTTTTTCAACAATTTTTACAAATTTAAATAATTTTTCATTCAACATTTTCAATCCCAAAACTGGTTTGGCAGTTCATTGTCCCAGCAGCTGTGTCGATGCGTCTACTTATATTCTTCTACAATGCCCCATGGCAAAACAATAAAGGTAAACTCATTTGTTAAATTAATTATATGGCAACCCTTTTCTGACGAACCCGACTTCTTGTCATTTTTTCAAATAAAATGTATTCATATCTAAAATATTTTCGTATGACGAGTGACAGATTTTACTTTTCTTGCAGGAATTGCCCAGCAACTTCTTTGTTAGAGATTAAAGAAGTTTTTTATCTTTTGCAGGAAAACTATGAAAAGTAAACAGATGGAGTCCCTGCAAAAACTTGCAAGCAATCAGCTGATTTGTCAAAACACCACCAATTTTACAAGTTTTATAAATGAAAAGGAAATTAACAGTAAAATAAAAACATGAGCAATAAAAGAAAGATAGATTTGAAGGGTTCTCCGGAAACATTTAAACGTGTTGCCTAAAATGTTGAAAATAGTCTTGTATTTTTTTATTACATACTAATACTTAAGTTTTTTCTCATTTTGTAAAGTTCCTCCAAAAACAATTAGTCTTGCTAATTCCAAAAAAAAAAAAATATTTTCAACTTGAAGAAAACAGCAACATCAGCAGAAATGGTTTGAAAAGTAAAGAAGCGACTTGATAGAATATTTCATTCGGCAAACATTGAAAAATGAGCTCGGGGTAAAGCCATTGAAATTCCAAAAAGTGCAAAAACTTACACCGCAACGTAAAGAAAATAGACTCAAAAGAGCTAAAGAAGTTGCTTCCTTGGCCGAAAGTGATGAACTGCCGAATTTGGTTTTCTCCGATGAGAAAACATTCGTTGTACAGCAGTTTGTAAACAAACAAAATGATCGTGTTTACTTGCCAAAGATGTCAGCTGAAAATGTGAACCTTCGGTTGGTCACCAGAACTCAAGCGTCGGCCATGGTGACGGTGTGGGCCGCCATAACAGCCGGTGGATAGTCGTTCTCCGCTCGTATTAATCGCGAAAATATTCTGAAGGGTGTATTAAAGCCTTGGACACGATAACATTTTGGCCGCAGACCTTTGACATTCCAACAGGTCTCAGCACTATCGCACTCAGCACGCGACACCCAAGAATGGTTACAAAATGAGGTTCCTCGCTTCATTTCCAGCGCACAATGGCCACCAAAATCTCCGGATACCAATCCGTTGGACTGCTGAGTCTGGAGAATTTTGAAAAGCAAGGCTGGCACTAAAAAATACCAAAGTGTCGATCGCCTCAAGCAAGCGCTTCGCTGGGAATGGGCCGAAATGCCGCAGAGCAACACTCGGGGAGCGTGTGACGGTTTCATTGGCCGTTTGAAGGCCATAATTCGTGCCAAAGGTGACCAATTCGAACAAATCTAAATTCATTCTAGAATTTGATGCTATTTCCGACACTTTTTGCCTTTCATTCAATAAAATTAAAAATTATGACGTTGACTTTGTTGCAGTTTTTTATCTCACCCTGTATGTGGGGACGCCAGTCGTACGTGGAATTCCGGAACAAGAAGTCCAAAACCCGTAGAGTTAAACAGGGAGTTCCCTAAGGTGGGGTGACTGTTTAACCTCTACCTTTCCGGAGTTCCTCGCCCTCCAGTGGGCATAGAGATCGTAACGTATGTGGATGATTGTATGATCATGGCGTCGGGCCCAGTGGTTGATGACAAACTCTTTACCACATGGTTTGCGGAGATGAGAACACAGCTGAATTTGCAGGTCGAGGGAAATTTAATACCGAATACAAACTGCCCCAAGATTTTAGGGGTCACATTCGACAGCATGTTCAAGTCGTCCGCGCAAGCCACAGCTATCTGCGACAAGATGAAAAGTAGGAACCAGTTCCTCAAGACGCTAGCCTCTTATAACGCGGTAGTTCGGTCTGTGGTCAGATATGCGGTGATCTGCGAATGCTAGTGCTACGCAGTGGAAGCACATCCAGACCTGTCAGAACGCTGCACTGAGAATTGCGACAGGCTGCCAAGACACCAGTGGACCATCTACATGAGGAGGCAAAAATCATTCCCTTACGTCAGCATAATCATCTGCTTTTGTTGTAGTACGTGATTGGGTGTTACCGTGAAAGTCATCCCAACCATCATAGGGTGCAAAAATCTTCCCCAAACAGGCGTGTCAGGAAGGACATACACGATCTGAGAGGGAGGTCCAAAGCTACAAGAGAGAACCTCTAGATCAAGAAGCCTATCAGGCCGGTCTGCGTAGCATTCATACCGATGCAGTCGCGTATGCTATTAGTAGTTATAAAATTAATGCTCGGAGTCCACCCTCTTCCATTGCAGCTGAAGAACGTCAGTTCAGGGTAGTTTTGGCGCAATTACGTTCAGGATCTCAATTCGTATTGGGCACGAATTTATGAAGATGTGCGTAACGCCTGCCCGGCGTGTATACTCTGCACCTCTTTAATTGTACAGCCAAATCTACCCAACTCACTCCACAAGATCTCTAGCTACAGCCCATTAAGGTAGCCAAATTTCTAAACTGAAAATGGAACCAGATTAGCAGAACGCAAACACTGACATGTACTACTACTACAGCAACAACTCATTCCAGAAGATCTCAGTCAGCCCTATATGCCATTAAGGTTGCCGAATTTTTAAACCTGGAGCTCGAACCGGATTAGCAGAATTCTAACACATGCAAAATTTACAGCAAATTCGATTTCAAATTGTGACGAAAACACCTCCAAACACCCAAAATCAGCCGGTACAGTTATATGGTCGCTATACCAATCGTATATGGCCCATTTTCAATACAAAAAGTTCCGACATTAACAATTGATTGTTAATTTTCCAGGCGGACAGACATACGAACGGAATTGGTTAAATCGACAAAAATCTAATGCTGACCAAGAGTTGGAGGAGCTACAAACGGAATATACCCTCCATAGTGTGATGCACGCAATACAAATTGTAAAAATTATCGTTATACTCCGTTGTGCACAAATATACAAGGCCTCACCAGATTCTTCTCGATTCTCAACTGAAGTAATAAAAATCCAAATCCATTTCCCATAAAAAAAAACTTTATCTGACAACACACCATTCATACTCACCGCTAGTTCACCTTAAACATGAATTCTATGTCATGATACCGATGTGGCGAAAAACTCCTGTAATCGCTGTACTGTCACCCGATCCAATTTACACAAATCAAAATCGAATGTTTTTGTTGTGATTTCATAACAACCCGTGGCAGCTATCAGCTCAACAACATGCTGGAGATCTTCATTGTCCTGTAGTGTCATAATCTTGTGATGTAACTCCTGCAGTTCGCTTAGATAATCCAAAGGCAACTGATGCGATGCCAGTGCCGCGGAGGCCGATGAATTAGCAGCCGCAGTTGTGGGTGTTGTAGCCGAAGTACTATTGCAGGTGGCAGCATTGGCCGTGGCACTGGTAGCATTTCCCACAGCCTCAGCGGCACTTAGGGCGGGCGAATGAGCAGCCGGTGGTACCGATGTGGGTGGTGCCAGGGGAGCTGCGGCCGCTGTACTCGATGGTGATGCTCCCGGCTGGAGGAAAGTCGATGAAGCCTCTGATATGCTTGCCCGACTGCCGGCATTGCGCATAGATGGCGATTTTGATTTTTCTCTAACCGATTTTGTTTCTTTTTTCATTTGCTTGAGTGGCGGTTCTATGAATGTGTTGGCTGCTTGAGAGTTCCGTCGTCGTTTCTTTTCACGTTCTTCTTCATTTTTCGAGGATTTATCCGTTTTGTCTTTCGAAGACTTACTGGATTTGGGAGGAGGTTCTTTTAACTGGGGTTGGGGTGGTGGTGTAGGATTGTTGATAGGCTTGGCCGTTTCTTGTGATGTGGAGGCTTTCTTTGCTTTGGTAAAACTTAAATCAGGAAAACTGCTGTTCGAGCTATCAGAATGTGTCATGACTGGTTGAGGAGGAGCAGGAGGTTGTGGTTTATTTGCCGCATTGCCGCTTGTTTGAGTATCCAAAGTGGTGGGTGCAGATGACACACTGTCATTATCGCTTAGATCCAAATGGCTATTACTTGGTGCAGGGAGAGCCGAACTAGCTGCAGGCGGTGCTGTAAGAGGAGCAGGCAATCCGGGAATGATTGCTGCATTGTTGTTTGCATTTGCCGGTGTAGAGTTTGACGACGACGAGGACGCAGAGGAGGTTGATGATGATGACAGTTTTGGTTGTTTGTTCTTGGTTTCTGTGGCATCGGCATCATTGGATTTGTGTTTCGAAGATGATTTTTCTTCTTTTGATCGATCTTTGGATTTCTTTTCTTTGTTCTTCGAGGATTTGGACGAAGAACTATTGCTACTGCTCGTGGTTGTTGTCGACGATGTGGTTGACGGCGGTGTCGTATTCACACCAGAAGGCTCCTCAGGATTACTGATACGTGGACTGTTCGTAAGACTTGTAGTGTTACTGGATTGCTGCTGCAACGATTGCTGTAGCGGTGGTGGCACAGAGAAATTTTCTGCGGATTTTTCTTCTGTTGGCTTTTCTTTAGTTTCTTTCTCCTTTTTGCTTTCCCTCTCTTTATCGCGCTCTTTATCTTTATCCTTATCACGTTCCTTATCTCGGTCTCGATCTTTATCCTTATCTTTATTCTTTTCCTTCTTTTTGTGTTTGTGTGAACGTTTATCTTTTTCTGGTGGGGCTGGTGCGGTCGCTGCCGTAGCCGATGCTGAAGAGGCCCCTGTGGTTTTCTTATCGCTGGCTGTATGTTGTGGATGGGCTACATTTGTGGGTGGCAATGTTGGTGCTACCCCTGAATTTGGCGGAACTGCCAAATTATCTTGACTTTTAGTTGGCTCAGCTTTAGTGGGTTTTTCGGACTTCTTTAATGTTTCGTTGGCATTTAAAGGACTCTTTGAGTGTTTTTCTGGAACTCCAGCTGCTGTTGGATTGGGTAATGCATTTGTTGGTGGTTGAGAGGAGGATTTTGTTTCATCTTTCGGGGGAACTGATTTTGCTGAAGCCTCTAATGCCTTTTGTTTCTCTTTTTCTTCGTGTCTACGCTCTTTATCTCTTTCCTTGTCTTTGTCCTTTTTCTCCTTTTTTGACTTTTTGCCACTCGACGAAGATTCCTTTGATTTGGATTCTTTGGATGAGGAATCTTTTGATGATTTCGATGATGAGGACTTTCCCTCGTCTATTTTGCCACTTTGTGAAGATGAAGGTCTTGCAACGGAGCTTGAACTGTTGGCCACAGTTCCACCTGCAGAAGGAGGACCACTGGCATTTTGTGTATTTATTGGAGCCACTGCATTTGTTTTCAATGGACTGAGCTCTCTTGCAGGCTTTGGACTCGAAGGTCTCTTGTTGTTGTTTGCAGCATTCCCTGACGACGACTTGTCTCTGTCGCGATCTTTGTCTCGATTTTTATCCTTTTTCGATTTTTCTTCATTTTTATCTCGTTTTTCATGTTTTGATTCTGACTTTTTGGAATCACTTCTGCCTTCCTTATGGGGGCTATTTGTCGATTGTTTGTGGTGTCTTTCCTTGCGTTCGGACCGGTCTTTCGATCTGTCCGACGATGATTTCTCTTTGTCTTTAGACGATTTTTCTTTTGCAGGCATACTGCTGGCGGGATTGCTACCCAGTTGGCCAGTTTTAATATCGGGAGAATGTTTGGCGTTGTTGCCAACATTATAAGCACCAGTTCCAGATGAATTGGTTGCAGTGCCACCATTTCCAGCCGTAGCAACCGCAGATGTCTTTGTAATGGGTGGGCCAAATAGATTGGCAAATGAATTTAACTTTGAATCATCTGGGGGACGACTTTTATGTTTCTTTTCGGCCGATGAGCTTTTATGAGCCTCAACATGGCCCGTATTATTAGCACCAGACATTGAGCTATTCGTTATGGCATTACTGGATGTAACAGCTGACACTAGAACTCCACCGCCTTTTAAAAGTTTCTGGCGAAATTCTTCCGAAGGGTTCTCAAAGACGTGTTTTCTTATTTCATGGTTATGTTTTGGCGGGCCTGTTGTCTGTAGATCCAAGTCATACTGATAGTTAATGCGCTTTGGCTCATCTCGATTACGTAGATGGATTTCAATTATAACATCGAAACCTGCATAGCCTGACTCTTGAATGAGATATGGTGGCTCCTTGCAAACTAGAAATAAATACAGGAAGAGTAAATCTATTATTTCCCATTCAAAATCGAAGAAAAACTGGCTCCTATCCTACTTACCACGTTTGGGTTTTGCAAAAGATTCGTGCAAATTGAAGACAATTTTCTCAACAAACACACTTATGTCGCCCTGCTGTCCCTTTACATATAGCTCCCAATCATGTGTATAACCTTCAATGGTTTTTTTACTCCTCAGTTTCGAGGTATGACCAATTTCAAATTGCACTTTAACCGCCATTTACTTGACTCCCGAAGCTAATGCACCTCACAGTAGCTTGCGCCCGAAACCCACAATTTTTCTTCCTTTTAAAGGATGTCAACTGGAAGTACACAATAAAAACAAAAATGTTAACCCACACACGCACTCACATAAGTACCATCAGCAGCAGAAGAGTGGCAGTGTTAAGCCACCAGCTAGTCATAGTCATCAGCAGTGTGCCAAAGCCATGATATGTGTTATGAGAGATGTGCATCGAAAGAAGTGTATAAGCGAAAGAAAGTTAGAAAGGGAAAGAAAATGCGTGTGCACCGAGAAAAATCTCAACATTTTCCCAAAAAAGGGAAGGGGCAGGCATGTATGGACGGCACACCATTAGTAACAAAAATCAAAACAAATCAAACCATTTTATGTTAGAATATCATTGTCCAATAGTTTATAATTTTGGCGCTACATTTGTTTATTCTCACCAAAAGGTTCACAAACTTTCTTTAAATCTATATTATTTTCCATTCACATGCAGACCGCCCGCGCTCACCCCTTTTTCTATTTCTTCACCAGCGCACACACACACTAACACACACATCCACTCTCGCTCGCCTCAATTTGTTTTCAATTACAAATTGGAAAACATTAATCTTACATTGCTAGGCAAAAAGTTTATGTTACAATTGCAATTATTTCAATCCAATAAAATCCAGACATTTAATTTTAATGCATTAATTCAGTAAATCGTCGCCAATATGTTGTGTTTTTCCGCACCACAAATTAATTAATGTATAAAGAATTGGCCTCAACACGATACACTCGACTACATGACACTAAATCAGATTTAATGTCAAAATTACGGTATTTGGTATTTGTTTATCATTTGTTATGTGATTTCATTCACAATAATAAATTTGGTTACACATCTTCCATGACCGATAAAACCAGCTGATTTCTCTGTTGTCGAAATGCATGACATTGTGAATTAACGTTTTCGCCAGTGCCTCTCAGGCGATAACATGAAAAGTAAAATTAAAAATATAAAAAATTAATAATGAAAAAATTAAAAAATATATATATTTATATACAAGGTGAGATAAAAAAATGCAAAAAAGTCAAAAGTCATAATTCTTAATTTTATTTAAATTTTATTGAATGAAAGCAAAAATGTTGGAAATAGCATCAAATTTTAGAATAAGTTGTTCGAATTGGTCACCTTTGGCACGAATTATGGCCTTCAACCTGCCAATGAAACCGTCACATGGAAAGGAGAGGCCATGGTAGAAGAATACAGGTAGTCGCATCGACACAGCTGCTGGGACAATGAACTGTCAAACTAAATTTGAAATTGAAAATTTTGAATAAAAAATTATTCAGATTCGAAAAAATTGTTGAAAAACGAATATCATAACAATCTCCGATTGGTGTCGTATAAGAAAACATGTCAAAATCTACTTATTTTTGAAAAAGCATTTCAAAATTTTTGACATATCAATGTTCCCAAGCGTTGATGCATCTACCTGTATTTTTCCACCATGAGAGAGGCTATATAATCGTATCACTTTCGCATATAACCCCCACGTAAAACTAAAAATATGAAAAGTTAATAATAAATAAAAAACGCCATAATTTTAAAATTTTTTAAAATTTTATTGAATGAAAGCAAAAAAGTGACGGAAACCACATAAAATTTTAGAATAAGTTTAGATTTGTTCGAATCGGTCATCTTTGACACGAATTATGGCCTTCAAGCTCCCAATAAAATCGTCACACTCTACTCGAATGTTGCTCAACGGTATTTTGGCCCATTCCCGGCGAAGCGCTTGCTTTAGGTGATCGACACTTTGGTTTTTTTAGTGCTAACCATGGTAGAAGAATACAGGTAGTCGCATCAACACAGTTGCTGGGACAATGAACTGTCAAACCGATTTTGGAATTGAAAATGTTGAATGAAATTTTATTGAAATTTGTAAAAATTTTTGAAAACTGCTTATTATAACAACCTCTGATTTGCGTCGTATAAGAAAACATATAAAAATCTACTTATTATTGACAAAACATTTTAAAAATGTTGGCATATCAATGTTCCCAAGCGTTGATGCATCTACCTGTATTTTTCTACCATGATGCCAACCTTGCTTTCCAAAATACTCCAGACACAATAGTCCAACGGATTGGTATCTGGAGATTTTGGTGCCCATTTTGCGCTGGAAATGAAGCGAGGAACCTCATTTTGTAACCATTCTTGGGTGGCGTGTGCTGAGTGCGATGGTGATGAGTCCTTCTGGAATGTCCAAGTTCTGCGGCCAAAATGTTTGCGTGCCCAAGGCTTTAATACACCCTCCAGAATAATTTCGCGATAATATTCGGCATTTATTCTGTTGCCATGGTCGAGTAATACGAGCGGAGAGCGTCCATTCGCTGTTATGGCGGTCCACACCATCAGCATGGCCGGCGCTTGAGTTCTGGTGGCCAACCGAAGGTGCATATTTTCAGCGTCTCTGCGGCAAACAAACACGATCATTTTGTTTGTTTACAAACTGCTGGACAACGTATATTTTCTCATCAAAGAAATCCAAATTCGGCAGTTCCCTACTTTCGGCCAAGCGAGACATCTCTTTAGCTCTTTTGAGGCTATTTTCTTTCTGTTGCGGTGTAAGTTGTTGTACTTTTTGGAATTTCAATGGCTTTACCCCGAGTAAAATTTTCAATATTTGCCGAATGGAATATTGCGATATGTTCAACTCACGAGCCATTTTTTCGGCCACTTCGACACGGGTTTCGATCAAGTTGCTTCTTTACTTTTCGGACCATTTTTTGACTTTAGGCTACACTATCAGTATCACGGTAACGAGCGATGGTACAGACACAAAACATTTATTCCCATTTAAATGCTGGAGTGCTCTAACGTTAGCGATGGTTTTCCAGCCAAATATAAAGAAATTACAATATCACGCTTGGATTCCATCACGAATAACTTCTTTTCTGGAAAATCCTGATATGCTTTGGGCGAAACTTGAATGAATAGTAAGTATATGTCAGAGCCGGATATCAGAGCCGCATTCAAATTCTGCCGTCGTTTCCCTTTATAATTTGACATTAATATACCTAGCCATGATTCCAAGCTGTTTATGTACACTCTCCTTTTCAGTTCATTTAATATAAATAGGTTAACCCCCTATTTGGTTGGTTTGGTTTGACAGTTCATTGTCCCAGCAGCTGTGTCGATGTGGCCATGGTACAATGAAGAGAAGGTAGGTCAACTTTGAAAAAATTGCAAGTATAGAGGTCTACCTGTTTGGCTTGTAATGTCAGAATTACTATCAAAACAATAAAAAAGCAAACAACTTGTTGCATTGATTTTGAATAAATAATTTAAAACCGCGAAAACTGAATGAATGGTCAAAATTTCTTTTCAATATCATGTTCTATATATCTCTTATGGTTTATTTCGCGACAATAACTGTACATTTTGTCGATGCATTTGTTGCAATAAGCATTTTGAAAACACCCGAATTTGAATATTTTCTGAACAATTTTTTATTATTGAAAAGAAGACACACACATAAGCAAATGAAGTTGACATATTAAGCCAGAAAAATAAAAAAATTTAAATCATATGGTAGTTCTGCCCTACCTTGAATTCATTGTACCATGGATGTGGCTACCTGTATTTTTCTACCACGAAATAAAAATATAAACAAAACTTCAAATGAAATTTGACACACTGTAGACACAATTCAGGGTTTGCTGCTACTTTCTAAAGATAGTACCATGCATGGTACAATGAAAAGAAGGTAGGTCAACTTTGAAAAAATTGCAAGTATAGAGGTCTACCTGTTTGGCTTGTAATGTCAGAATTATCAAAAAAAACATGTTGCATTTATTTTGAATAAATAACTGAAACCCCCGATAACTGAATGAAAGGTCAACACTTCTTTTCAAAATCATGTACTATATATCTCTAAAGGATTATTTCGCTACAAAAACTCTAGATTTTGTCGATGCATACGTTGAAATAAACATATTGAAAACACCCGAATTTAAATGTTTTCTGAACAATTTTTTGTTATTGAAAAGAAAACACATACATAAACAAATAAAGATGACATATTAAGCCAAGAAAATAAAAAAATTAAATCATATGGTAGTTCTGCCCTACCTTGATATCATTGTACCATGGTTGCTGCCATGGTACAATGAAGAGAAGGTAGGTCAACTTTGAAAAAATTGCAAGTATAGAGGTTTACCTGTTTGGCTTGTAATGTCAGAATTAGTATCAAAACAATAAAAAATCAAACAACTTGTTGCATTTATTTTGAATAAATAATTGAAAACCGCGATAACTGAATGAAAGGTCAACACTTCTTTTCAAAATCATGTACTATATATTTCTAAAGGATTATTCCGCTACAAAAACTCTAGATTTTGTCGATGCATACGATAAAATAAACATTTTGAAAACATCCGAATTTGAATGTTTTCTGAACAATTTTTTTGTTATTGAAAAGAAAACACATACATAAACAAATAAAGATGGCATATTAAGCCAAGAAAATAAAAAAATTGAAATCATATGGTATCATAGCCCTACCTTGATATCATTGTACCATGGTTGCTGCTACCTTCTAATAATTGTACCATGTGTACTACCTTTAATTTAGTGTTGCCTAATGATCCCTTGAACACTCTATTGATTTTTAAATCCCTATAATGGTTTGTTTTTCGATCTTGAAAAACCTAATGCCTTCGAAGTTTTTGTTTTGATCTTGTATTTCATCGTCCATTCTTCCCTGCACTTTGATTTCACCAAGGCGCGTTACTGCTGAACAACGCCGTTGCCGCAAGCAAATCAAAACACGTTTTGTAAATAACTCCTTCACAGGAACAAATCTTGGAAGGATTAAGTGATAATTCCCAATTAAAAAATAAAATACATCGCTTGAAAGGGCTAGAGCTTTTAACACAATGCAGACTATACGCGAATTTACTAGAAAAACCAAAAGAGGGAACATCCTTAAGGTGAGTGTGGGATTATAAGCAGGTCCAGAAGTTTGTTATATTTTGAATGTAATGTTCTTTTATTTTGGCAACAGATTGTACGTGAACATTATTTACGCATCGATTTGGGCTGTGGCTCTGATATATGCCATCGCTGCCAGCAAGATGAAGATGGTGTACAGCTAATGAGTGACCGCATGAACCGGAGCACCTTGTTCGATTTCCCGCATTATGTGGTATTGGATACGAATGTTGTGCTGCATCAAATCGATGTTCTGGAGGAAGATGCTTTGCGTAACGTTATTGTACTGTCCACGGTGCTACAAGAGGTCAAACACTGTAGTTCAGTTATATACAAACGATTCCACGAAGTTGTCCAGCACAAGCCACGTGGTTTCTTTGTCTTTGTCAATGAACATCACAAGTGAGTTGAAATTGGAATGTTAAAAAGGATCCATAATCTCAAAATAATTTTTTGTATTCATTTAAAGGGATACCTATGTAGAGAGACAGCCCGGCGAATCGGCCAATGATCGTAATGATCGGGCCATACGATTTGCCACATCCTGGTATGATGGACACATCTTGGATGTACAACAGTCGGCAGTCAAGAAATCGAAAGGAAAACAATTGACAAGAGTTGTTTTGATTACCGATGACATTGACAATAAAGAGAAAGCCGAAAAGGAAGGCATATTGGCGGCCACAGCAGAGGAGTACATTAAATCCTTGGTCGATTATCCCATGCTAATTGATAAATATGCCCGTAAGGACATTGAAAAGGATCGCGAGACAGATCCTCTGTTTCCCATGCATTTGAGTATGAATGAGATAATCGAAGGTGTGAGGAATCAACGTCTCTTGCAGGGAGCATTTCAGGCATCAAGGGAAAACTATTTGGAAGGTTCGGTTAATGTGGAAGGATATGAGAATCCTGTAAGTGAAATTGCTTCACACCTGTCGGCCTATGATATTAATTTTTGTTCTTTTCTTAGATTCTCATTCAAGGCCGTGATTCATTGAATCGTGCGGTTGATGGCGATTTAGTGGCCATTGAACTTTTGCCCGAATCCAAATGGTCGGCCCCTAGTGAAATTGTTCTCGAGGAAGCCGACACCATTGATGTGGGTGAAGGTGAGACGGACGAGGAGCCGGCTGAAGATGTTTTGGCAGATGCTGCATTGAAAGCCTCGGCTAGCGGAGAAAAAAGACCCACAGCCAAGGTTGTGGGCATTATAAGACGTAAACGTCGTCAATATTGCGGTATTCTACAACCAGCCCAATTACCGGGTGGGACAAAACATATTTTTATACCAGCCGATCGTAAAATACCTCGAGTACGCATTGAAACCAGACAAGCGGATAAGTTACAAAATCAACGTATCATTGTGGCCATTGACACATGGCCACGATCATCGCGTTATCCCCATGGACATTTTGTGAGGGCTTTAGGTGCCCTGGGAGATGTTGAGACTGAAAATGAGGTTATTCTTTTGGAACATGATGTGCCGCATAGTAAATTTTCCGAAGAGGTGCTTAGCTTTTTGCCCCAAATGCCTTGGACCATTACACCGGAGGTGAGTAGTATGGGGGGGGGATATTTTGAAGAACTTTTTAATTACTTGTATTTGGCTATTTAGGACTATGCCGCCCGTGTTGATCTCAGGGACTTGGATATATGTTCTGTCGATCCTCCAGGCTGTACAGATATTGATGATGCTTTGCACTGTCGAGACTTGCCAAATGGCAATTTGGAAGTTGGTGTCCACATTGCCGATGTCAGTCATTTCATACGTCCCGGCAATGCCTTGGACAAGGAGGCAGCCAGCCGTGGCACCACCGTTTATTTGGTGGGCAAACGTATTGACATGGTGCCAGATTTGCTGAGTTCAAATCTATGTTCGTTGCGTGGTGGTGTGGAACGTTTTGCCTTCTCATGTATTTGGGAAATGGATCATGAGGCCAATGTTATCAGCAAGAAATTCCATAAATCTGTTATAAAATCCAAATCCGCAATGACCTATGAAATGGCCCAAATTATCATAGACGATAAGACACAGAATCACAACATTGCCAAATCTTTGCGTAATTTGAATAAATTGGCCAAGATTTTGAAGAAACGTAGAATGGATAATGGGTAAATAGAGAGGAGGCCTTAAAGTATAATTTATTTAATTTTAATTTCTTACAGAGCATTGGTTTTGGCCTCACCTGAAATTCGTTTCCAGGTAGACAGCGAAACCCATGAACCTCTGGAAGTTGAGGCAAAACAACTGCGTGACACCAATTCGATGGTAGAAGAATTCATGTTATTGGCCAATGTAACGGTGGCCGAACACATTGCCCAGGAATTCCCAGAATGTGCCATGTTGCGTAGACATCCCCGGCCACCGCTGAGCAATTTTGAGCCATTGATCAAGGCTGCGCGTCATCAAAACTTTGAGATTTGTTGTGATTCTGGTTTGGAATTTTCCAAATCGTTGGATACATGTGTTAAGCCCGATAATCCCTATTTCAATACCATGATACGTATTTTGGCAACAAGGTGTATGATGCAGGCCTTGTATTTTATTAGTGGTACCCTGCAAAAGGATCAATTTGAACATTATGGTTTGGCGGCACCGATTTATACGCATTTCACTTCGCCCATTAGAAGGTATGTTCTATTTTTAAATTCCCATGGAATTGGAGTTAATCTCTCCTTCTTTATAGATATTCCGATATAATTGTCCATCGCTTGCTGGCCGCTTCCATAGGTGCGGACAGTACCTATGCTGCATTGCTGGACAAAAATGCCAATGCCGAATTGTGTCACAATTTAAATTATCGCCATAAAATGGCTCAATATGCCGGTAGAGCCTCAGTGGCCCTAAACACTCATTTATTCTTTAAAGGAAAGGTTCAGGATGAAGAAGGGTAAGGAGAGCCTTACAACAATATAAACAAGTTTCACTACTTAATACTCATATTTTACAGTTACATTTTATTTGTACGCAAAAATGCCCTGCAAATTCTTATACCCAAATTCGGTTTGGAGGGTACAATTTATTTGAATGCCCTAAAGGATGATCAAAAGAAATCGAATAATGGCGTTGTATTTACATTCAATGAAGAGGTATAAATTATTTCTACTCAAGTCTATTTGAATATTTAAAATATAACATCTATCCCATTTAGGATTATACCCAACGTTGTGGTGACATTATCTTTCATGCCTTTGATCCGGTTACGGTACGCCTGAGCTTGGACTCCAGTAATATTCAACATGAAAAATTAGTTTTTCAATTGGTTAAACCTTATATAAAAGGTTTTAGCATTGAAATTGATGACAATGCTGCTGGTGGTGGTGGTGCTGCTGCTAGCGCTGCTGCAATAAAATCGAACGATGTTGAAATGACCCCAATAGCTCCACCACAAAAGAAAATTAAAAAATCCAAACAAAATAAAAATAATAAATAACCCATTAAATTGGTAAATAATTTACAAAAAACAACAACAACAAATGCCATCATTATTCACCGTTGCCGTTGTATTTGAGTAAATAATGCACATTTAATTGAGGGATTGCAGTATGGTGGCATAATTTGTTAATTGTATTTTGACAACAACAACAATTTGATAGTGGATATTGCGTTTCGCGCTATGCTCATAATTAGAGGAATTTGACGTATTAATGGTGGGTATTTTTTGCGCAATATTTGTGATAGGGGAAAACTTCTAATAGATTCAAATAGTGTTACTGTTTTTGCTTTTGATTGTATTTTTTTTTTTAAATTTTGTTTAAACAGACACCAAGGTAGGATAGAGGAGAAAGTGTCTAAATGAATATGGTATGAATACCGTCCTTGGAACTCACACTCATTCTATCCCACTGTGGCCCTGTTAAACTTATCCCTCTCACTCCAGAGGATTAATGTCTACAGTTACAGTTCGAAGTAATTACATTTTTATACTTGGCAGTTAGAGCCACTAAAAGACAAAGAATTCGATGCAAATGGTATATGAATGTAACGATCTCTTTTTATGTCTGTCATCCAATGCTTCAGAGGTCAAATTCACCGATATTGAAATAATTAGGATACATTTTCTTCAAGGAGAACCTTTTACCCAAACATCTAAATTTCCAAATTACAATCAATGCGTTTAAAATACTGAAGATAAGAAGGTACCGTAATATAGTGTTTATGTCAAAACATGGGCATATATTGAAAAATTTTTAGGGCGAATTTTTATTCAACCAAAATCTCAAAATTACACATAATATATGGAGGTCAGTCCAAGCAAGGCACCTAACAAATAATAAACTAAAAATAAACTCTATATTACACAAACTATATACTATACCAGGAAGTGGTCACTACTTCGTCGGCGAAAAGTCCACTTTAAAATTTAAGATTGGTTCCAACAGTTTGTGTTAGGACTTATTTTTATACCTTACACCATACTGTGGTCAGAGTATTATGTCTTTGTGCATTTGTTTATAACATAGAGAAGGAATCGAGATAGACCCATAGTTCTTTTTGGTGATCTGCATAGTATCACTTTCTGAGTCGATTTATGCATGTCCGTCCGTCCCTCTGTCCATGTTTTTATTTGTAAACAAAGCACAGGTCGCATTTATTGCACGATCGAGGTGATATTTTGCACAAATCATTTGTTTGGTCCAAGTACGAACCCTATGAAATTGGAGATAATCGGTAAAAGTTTTGATACAGGTCTTCGTCCCATTTGCCTTTTTTTGGTGCACAAAACGTGTAATATTAGACCAAATTAGATACAATTTGGTTACGTATAACCAAATTGAGTCTGGAAACAAGTGTGCCAAATTTGGTGGAAATCAGCTCAGATATATAGCTATAGCTCCCATATATATTCTTCATCCGACTTGTTAAAATTCTCTACCACAGCCGTAATAGGCACTCCGTAACTACGATACTCGATGAAATCTCGGAAATACTTTTGCCAAATTTCATCGAGATCGGTTCAGATTTGGATATAGCTCCCATATATATCTTCAATTCTGGGTTAAATATGCACCAATTGGCCAATATAAGTCCAAACGACCTGAATTTTGGTACATCCAACTGCGTTCAGTCTAGAAGCAAGTACATCAAATTTGGTAAAAATCGGTTCAGATATAGCTATAGCTCCAATATATATATTTCATTCGATTTGGTGTTTAAGTCCCTCACATTCGTAATATTCATTTTATCGAGAACGGCTAAGAATTGGATATAGCTCCCATATATAATCTTAATCTGATTTCAGGTTTATTGTGCAAATAATGGCTGATATCTGCCCAAATAGAGTAAATTTTGGGACGTACGTTTCCATTTTGCGGAACTCGGCTTCGATATACATATTTTTTCTAATATATTTCTTCTGGAAGTGATATCATGCACTCTACGGGGTGAAATAAAAAAAAAACTGCAACGAAGTCAAAGTGAATGAAAGCAAAAAATGTCGGAAATAGCATCAAATTTTAAGATAAGTTTAGATCTGTTCGAATTGGTCACCTTTGGCACGAATTAGGGCCTTCAAACGGCCAATGAATGTTGCTCTGCGGTATTTTGGCCCATTCCCGGCGAAACGCATGCTTGAGGTATTTTTTAGGTATTGGTATTTTTTAGTGTCAACTTTTATCCTTTCTTTCCAAAATACTCCAGACACAATAGTCCAACGGATTGGTATCCGGAGATTTTGGTGGTGCGATCGTGCTGAGTTCTGTTGGAATGTCCAAGGTCTGCTCTGGAATATTTTTCCGATAATATTCGGTATTTATTCTGATACCACGGTCGATTAATACGAGCGGAGAGCGACATCGGCTGTTATGGTGGGCCACACCATCACCATGGCCGAAGCTTGAGTTCTGGTGGCCAACCGAAGGTACACATTTTCAGCTGACCTCTTTGGCAAGAAAACACGATCATTTTGTTTGTTTAAAAACAGCTCCGATGAGACAATGAATGTTTTCCCATAGGAGAGGACAAAATCAAATTCGGCAGTTCACCACTTTCTGCCAAGCGAAGCATCTCTTTAGCTCTTTTGAGTCTATTTTCTGTTCTTTCCGTTGCGGTGTAAGTTCTTGCACCTTTTTGGAATTTCAGTGGCATTACACCGACCTCATATTTCAATATTTGCCGAATGGAATATTGCGATATGTTCAGCTCATGAGTCATTTTTGGGCCAATGCGCGCCGATTTCGATCAAGTCGCCTCTTTACTTTTCGAACCATTTCTGCAGAAGTTGCTGTTTTCTTCCGTCCACTTCCTTGACGACAGACTACACTACCAGTATCACGGTAACGAGCGGTGGTACGACACCACAACAGATTTGTTCACAATTAAATGCTGGAGTGCTCTAACGATAGCCACTTGTGGTTTTCCAGCCAAATATAAAGAAGTCACCCAATCACGCTTGAATTCCATTACGAATAATTTGTTTTCTGGAAAATTCTCATCAAAATGCTTTTGTACGCTTGTAAGCAATGAGCTGATAATGAGCTGTCACTGGAATAATTTTAACAGCTATCGGACGAGTGGCTTAGAAATGACAGAAGTCGGAAGTTGATTGCTTAATCCAATTTCAGGTTTATTGTACTAATAATGGCTAATATCAGTCCAAATGGAGTGAATTTCAGGACGTATATTTCCATTTTGTGGAACATATTTTGTTTATTATAATCCTTCTTGAAGTGATATCATGCATTCTATTATGCAATGTTATTTGGTAAAAAAAAAGATAAGAAGATCTCCGTCAAATTTATTAAAAATCGATTCAGAATTGGATATACCCCCTCTGAAACCAAACTGTATCTGCTCTAAAGCCAAATTTTGATAGGTGGTATGATTTACTTCAAATAAATGATTTTGTTACGGAAGATCTACTAAATATGCATAGTGGTATCATATAGTCGGCCCCGCCCGAATTTGCCGAGAACCTTATCACCTACTCAACAAGACTGACCCTCGTTAAAAGTTTAAAGATTCTAGCTGGGCGTTGATTCTCGGCCAGTATGTCAGTCATTTATTTGCTATTCCTTCGTATTCCAAATTCTAGGGAGCGTCTAAAAGTATGCTATAAAATTGCCAAAAATAGATTTTGAAAAAGTCACTCTTCTCTAAATACCAGAGTACACATGAAGCTACTATTAAGTTTAAAAATTGATGGGAGTTCCCGAGAGTATTTTATAAAATATGAAAAAGTGATGTATAATCGGGCTCTAATATGATATATATTCGACCCTTTATTCTACTTTTGGGTTATCGAACAAATCGTTTTTTTAAGTTTTTTGATGGTAAATGTAAAAACGCCGCATTATAACCTCACTTCGCCAAAGTAGTGAGTGCTGTTCTGAAGGTAAATATAAGTCAGTGGGCCAGTATCTCATAGCTAGTCTTCACCACTTACTTTCATGATGATATCCTCCTTTCGAAACTATTGAGTTCAATCTTTTAAAACATTATTCTATTGATATTTTCAATCACACACAAATACCTAAAAAAAACTGTGATACAAAATCAAAATCTCAATTTATTATGATAATTTGTTTCTTTTGCCTGAAACAATATAAAAAATAAATAATAAAAAAAAAACACATTTCAAAAAAACAAAAAATATAAAAGTAGACCCACCTGGGCAACATTGTTTTAAACTATTGCATGAACACTTAATCAACTCGAATACACATTGTATGAACGAATATTACACCTTTGGACTATCAACACTGAAAGCCCAACCAAAAAGCCAATGACACTAAAATTTCTAGCGACGCATATAATTTCGAATTCTTCTTTTTGTATCTTTTTTTCGGTACCCTCATTCATTAACATTTTAATTCCACCGCGATCGAGCAATTCAATATTATTTCAAATATCTGGAAGCTCAAAAATACCTTTTCAGTTAAAAGACTTCAGTTGTGTGGAACGGATGTTGGTGTGAAAAAATATATATTTTAAAAAAAATAACAACGAAATTTGTAAAACAAAAAAAGGAATATGGCTACAAATGCTGATAATGATAACTGTAATGGTACATAGTAATTAGTAATATTTTGTTTTAAAAAAACTGGAACAATGAACTAAACTTGTGACAGAATTGCTGATGTGATACAAAATAAAAACGTTATGACTTTCGGTGCATTTTAAATTAAAAAATTAAAAAAAAAAAACATGTCCTTGTGGACATAATAATATCAATTTTACAAAGTTTTTTTTTTATTTAAAATCTATACGGAATAATAAAAATGCATGTGAAAAAAAAAACATATTTATCAACAAAGTCATGAAAGCAAGGATAAAATAAAGACATAAAATAAGAAAAAAGATATAAAGAAAAAACTTAATAAATTTATTTAATTTATTTAATCTAATTTATTTTAACTTAAAAAAATCGATGATAATGTTATAGAGATTATTACCGTTCTTTATAACACTTAAACCCGTATTGAACAACCATCCCGAAGGATAATAATAGCCACATCTCAAGATTTTAAGGACGTG